ATGTTCAAGGGGCCCTTTTTTAGCTTCTGCAGTTAATTTTATAGTGGTGTTATGTCCCACTGTTTCCTGTTTGTGAATTTTTTCCTTCTTAAAGACAACAGCTGTTATCTACTTTTGCCAAAATAGGAGACTTCATTGTTTGCTCATTCCTTAGAAATCTTCATTCCCATCTTCTTCTCGACTTCAGTAGCCACTCAAATTGCTGGATTTTAATGTAAATCACTAATATTACATTAGCCATAATTTCTTGAACAAAACTGTTACTTTTTTTTTTTTTTTGATTAAGCAACATTTGTTCTTTTAAAAATCATTGATTTTCAAAGAGTATCATGAAATAGTAACTCATAGAAAAAATAATTAACAAAGCATGGAAGTTTGGTTGTTCACACATTTTGTGTTACAGTGGTCTTAAAAACTATGGACTTGCCATAAATATATTCGAAATGAAAGAGTAAATTCCACTGAACAGGGGACTAACAAGTTTCTTAGAAACAAATTATATGAACTTGGTGCAGTCAAACAAAAACAAAAGCAACAAATCCATAGAGGATGCTAGAAAGTCATGGGCATAAAGGAACACTGCTTGTATAGATGACAGTAGGAGATACCTACCACCACCACACTGTGCATCTGATTTATCACCATCAGTAAAGGTACCAGTATGCTGTACCATTGCATACTGTCACAAAAAGAAATGCTGAGAAAATCCATTCACTTCTTTCACATCAGTATAAAGATTTCAGGAAACTGGAAAGTATATGTTGTGTATTCTGTGCATAAATAATGTGGTTCTTCATGAGGAAAGCGCTCTGGTCCATTGGCACTTGGAGAAATCTCAGCAAATTAAAAATTTTTGTAAGTGGACTATTGAGGAAAAGCAGTCCCATAATATACTAGTCTCACCCCAGAAACTCATCTGTTTATTTTATTTCAGATGGCTATATCAACTGCAGATTTTATGTCCCTTTGAATGAGAAATGGTATGGCTATATATACCACCTGCTTTCATGCTGGTTTCTTGTTTGGCTTATTCTTTAACCCTGAAGATGGAGGCGGTATGTTCCTCTGAAACATTGGTTGACTCTAAACAGACTACACAGTGTTATATCCCAGAAGATAGTATGCCTCATAACCACTCCTGTGAGAACCTGAAATCCTGCAGAAGACGTCTGTTTACCTGTAGTGTGGTTTGAAATAGCTTAAAATTTATATCATATACCATCCAGTTAATTGTATTGCTGGTCTGCAAACCTCCCAGCACAATTATGTACTGTAGCGAGTATGCATATTCCAGGATTGTGACATATTCAGTGCATTTAATCCTACCATTATTACCAAGATTCATAACTGTTGTGAGGCCATGGAAAGAAATCTTATGGATGGTGGGGATGACAGTGCTCAATTCACCCTCTCTGCCTCTTATTGTATTCTCCAACCCATATTAACCAGCCCAAGGCAATTGTCACCAGCAAAATCCCACCACCTGGTTATCAGTGCCGTTGTTTATATTTCATGTGTTAGGGGGTACACGTGACAGAAATAAAGGGTTCTAGATTGGATGATTAGATTTATTAGCACTTTGGTTACAAGTTCTCTTAATCACACTTAATACAGTGCAATCGCTGATTTATGCACTTTCCAGTTCACTGTCGCACACGCACTAGGATTTTCCATCTTCACTAGTCATCTCCTGACAGTAGATGTTGCACTTCAAACAACTATGCAGTCTTTTTGCCATTTCTTGTTCAGTTGCCCTGGAACCTCAGAACTCAACTAAATCCCTGTCTACTACTGACGGCTTTAGGTTACTGCTCACTCCACCAGCTTATGACTGCCTACAAACGACATTTGTTGTCCTTGTAAACCTTCAGCATGGACCTACAGAAAGCACATGACATGATTCCAGCCCAGCAGGTTCATTTGCATGCTGACTGTTGCCTAGCAACAAGCTATAATCATTCGTCCTATTGTTGCATGTGCATATCACAGGGTGTTTATTGAGTCGGTGCCCAGCAATGTATTGACATGTGACAGTATTAACAGGATGACTAGAAGACTGGAAGAGGTGTTTGTATGTGCACCATAAAGGAATGTGTAAAAGCCAGATGTGGAGGGGGTCAAGTCATGGGATTTCTTTCTTCAGCTTTAGTGTAGTTTTATTGGTTTTTGTAATAGATATCTTCAACAAATAACTATTTTTTATGAAGGTATGTTTTGTTTAAATATGTTTAAACATTCACTCAGTGTCATTATTCTGTCTGTCTGTTCTGTAGTTAAGTTCCTGTAGAATGCACATGTAGTCATTGAAGGTGACTGGATTTTTTTGCAGTCTGTAACAAAATTGAAATACAAAGAAGATTCTCAAAGGCGAAATTATGAAGAGTAATTGATCATATAAAGAACACACTACATTTCTCCAGAGTTGTTTCTGTAGGTTGAAAACACTAAGAACTGAGTTACCACATGTTGGTAATATTAAGGCAGATTTCTCTTCCAGTAACAGAATATGTATAGTTATGGTTTCTAGCCTGTCTGTAAATTATAGCTTGAAAACTTAAATAGGCCTTCATCCCATCGTTTTTGGCCGTGTACAGTATGACATGAAACAGATGTACCAATTCTTTAATTGTATGTATGTATTTATTAGTCCACCATAGATCCATAAGAAATTACAATTTCAGCGGATGTAGTTACCGTCAATAAATGTATACAGTCAGCCTTGCAAAATTGTACTAGTTGGTTCAAATATGACCGGGACTGGGGGTTTTTTTTTTTTGTAAAGAAGCCTCACTGTGCAGCAGCTGTGCGACCTTGAGAGAGTGAAGCCACAACCTCCACCCTCCCTCCTGTTTGGGTTAGAACCTGTTCAGTCCTGTTTGGGAGTTGCTTGAGTGATGAGCGAACAGAAGGTACCGCGGAGCATGGAACAACGCATTGTGATCAAATTCCTCGGAGAAAACATCCTGTCTGCTGAAATTCACCACAGACTCTAACAACAGTATGGGGAAGAGTGTCTCTCACGGACCCATGTGTTTGAATGGTGTAAGTGCTTTAGAGAGGGCAGAGAACGCATGGAGAATGAACTGCATGATCGTCGGCCGCGAACATCCACCACCAAGCCAAACATTGATCGTGCAGACACACTTATTCGTGAGAATAGGCGCATCACTATCAAGGAACTTTGAGCAATGCTGTCCATCAGTGTTGGTAGTGTAGAAGACATCATGAAATACCACCTGAACTATCGCAAGGTGAATGCACGGTGGGTAGCATGCACTTTGACAGACGTGAACAAAATGGTGTGCATGCAAGTTGTCAGTCGTCTCCTACAGCAGTTTGAAGATGAAGGTGAAGCATTTTTGAAGTCTATACTGACCACCGATGAAACGTGGGTGGACTACTTCATTCCCGAGTCCCAGCAATCATCACGCGAGTGGCGGCATACCAGTTCTCCCAAACCCAATAGAGTGTGGAGGAGCCGTTCGGCAGGAAAAGTGATGGCAACGTTCTTCTGGGACTGGCAGGGGGTTATCCATGTAGACTTTCTGACAGATGCCAGAACAGTCAGTGCAGCTTATTACTCAGACCTCCTGGCAAGAGACGTGAAGGAAAAGATCCGATCCAAGCGGAAGACAGGTGGAAAGCGGGTAGCCTTCCTTCAAGATAATGCACGCCCCCATATGGCCAAAACAACAATGGAAACCCTCCGGAAATTGAAATGGAACCTTCTGACACATCCGTTGTACAGTCCTGATTTGGTTCCAAGTGATTTCTACCTGTTCAGAAGGCTCAAATCAGACTTGCAAGGCATGTGGTTTGTGGACAACGACGCCGTCATCCAGAATGTTCAGGAGTGGATATGCCACCAACCACAAAACTTCTTTGAAAAGGGCATCAGGATGCTTCCAGAACATTGGAGAAACTGTGTTGGCTACGGAGGGGAGTATGTTGAAGACTGACATGTGCAAGTAAGTGTTTGGCAATTTTGGTTTAAAAAAAATCAGTCCTGGTCATATTTGAACCACCTTGTACTTGTCCAACAATTACATGACAGAAAATTATATGAGATCAGCTGTGCAATAGGGCACATTGTCTAATATGCCACAGAACAGAAGAAAACGTATCCAGAATCACATTAAATTTTTAGTGCATACTGTTCCTTCCATTGAGTCCTGTTCAATATGTTTGTTGGTGTGTGCATGTATGTATATGTGTAAGTGGGTTAATGTGTAGAACTTAAAAGTCACAGTCTTGTATGAATCCATATTCAGACATGCTATTTCTCACTTAAAAAATCATATGCTATGGATGCCAATTTCACTGTTTAATTTTTACTTTTAATTTTATACAAAGATAAAAGCACAACCTGCATTATGCCTTGAATCATCAGATATGGGCTACTTTCAAGTGTTAGTAATCTTGCATAACATAAACAGATGACTGGTTATCAAATACCATTACTGTTATTTTGTTTCCCATGCTGTTTAACATTTATATTCAGTATTGCAGGCTGCTTTTGAATGGAAGTTTAAATTTTGTCCACTCCTCCAGCGTGGATAGCTCAGTCAATTTAGAAACTGGCTATGGGCTGGATGACTGAGGGGTCAGAGTTTGAGTCCTGGTAGGATCAAGAATGTTTTCTTCTCCATGTCGTCCAGACCAGCTCTGGGGTTCACCCAACCTCTGTTGCCTGGGTGCCCTTTCCCCGGGGCATGAAGCTGACCCCACCAACTAGTGCCAAGATCAAGACAATATGGATCTATACATCCACTCCCCCATATATGCCTTCATGGTGTAGTGCGTAAATAATTACGCACAGGGATAACTTTCTCTCTTATCTTGCCACTCCTCCAGTTTGTTCGTATTTGTGACATCAAATATTGATTATGGGTTTTCTGATGCGGGGAAACCCTTTACTTTTTTGGATTGCATAGTGGTAGTGCCCACTAGCATCTGTGACTGAGCTGTGAGTATGTACCCAATTATAATTTATCTCACAGAAACACCCTCTGAAGATGAATCAGTTCAATCGACAGAACCCTGCGCAATGGCTTAACAGTCTGGCTCAGATGAAGCAAAAGGCAGGTCCTGGTGTAATGAAGGGCCTCAACCCTGGCGGGGTCCAGGGTGACATGGGAGCAAATCCCAGTTCAGGGGGTGGAATGGGAATATGGAATCAGGTAAGCAAACGTGCATGGTGGTAGTTATTTGCGATTACTAGTTTTTGCACGTTTCCCCTTGTTAAATTATCATTTTGGGATCTGTATAAATTTTTTTAAGGAACAGTACAGGACTCCTCATATGAGGCTCCATTGCACATATCTCATGAAGTTTCCATGTTATGTAATAATAATATGAAAATCTTATTAGGTATATGCACAGTGTACATAAATGTAAATTTTGAAATTAATTGCAAAATTTGAGGAAAATTTTGTGTATAAAAATGTTCTTTATTATGTGATCACATCACCACTTTCATCCTCATCATAAAGTTTAGGAATTCATACAGGGAAATTGACTGAATTTCAAGTGTTCTTCTCATAATACCCAGTACATGGACTGGAAAATTAACTGTAGAATATTCCTACATGTAACATATGTGTGCATAAACAGATCATGCATAAGAAGCCCTTAATCACTGAGCCATTTCTTCCATTATTCTTAGAATAAATTCCTCCATTAAAAATATATGATCATTGATTATTCCAAATTGAACATTTTGCACATTAGCTCACAGTCTTTCCAAGGTACTTGGAAGGTTTGCTTTAAACAACTTCATATGTTTATAGGACCAATTTTTTGCTTATCATATCTTTCTGCAGTTGGACTAAATATATATAAAAACATTTATACATGCAGGACTTTTCACTCTGTGATTTATGATACTCTTTAAAGTAATGTTAAATGTGAGGCACAGAGAGGTCAGTATCTTCTTCCCACAAAATCTTTGTACAATATATATTCCTTATTATATATGCAGTGTTGCAGCACACTGGTATGACACGAAGGGTCTACAGGTGTGCCATGGAAGTTCGGGTGAAGGTCGAAGAGAAGCGAGAAAAAATGAGGAATACAAAAATTGTTGAAATCCATGATCATCGTTATTTTTAAAAATAAGACAATACTTAGAATTTTAGCTATTGAACTGTTAAACACAATCTTATTACAGTGGAACCTCGCTTAACAAGCACCTCTCATAACGAGTAATTCGCATAACAAGCAAAACAAATTGTAAAAAAATGACTTGCTTAACGAGTGACGAGAGGGGAAGTCCCGGATTGTGCGCTTGCTACATCAGTCTGTGTTTAGCACTCGTTCCTCTAGAATCTTAGTGTCGCTTGTGATCACACATTTTTCCAAACTTGTGTTCAAACATATTGTTTGCGATTTTTTTGTGCAAAGTTTAATAACCCTTGCAAAATTGTCCCCGAAGAAAAAGCTGCAAAAAGACAGCCATAAGAGAATAAAAATGACCGTAGAAATGAAACATAAAATCATTGAATTGCGAGAACGAGGTGTGAGCGTGGCTGATCTAGCACGCACATACAATCGGTCTACATCAATGATTTGCATGATTTGGAGTTGCATTGTGTTTCACAGCAAGAAGTTGAGGAGGAGAGTTTGTCAGAGGAGGAGGAGGAGGTAACAGCAAAGCAATCTTCTGGCACAATAAGAGAAATTCTGAAAGCATGGGAAACTGTTGCATTGTACATTGAGAAGCATCACCCTAATAAGACAGTGGCTATGCGCACTACGAATTTATTTAATGATAATGCTGTGTCGCATTTTCACCAAATTTTGAAGTGTTGGCAAAACAAACATCTCTAGACAGTTTTCTAGTAAAAAAGAATTAGATATGTATCATAAATAATAAAATAATTGTTTCGATTTGTTTTTCTGCAAATCGAATTCGCATTCCAGGTTGGTTCATTCCGCACAGAAGAAAAGATGAAGATGATTCACGCTCCTTAGCAATGTATATATAATTTTCTTTGAATAAACGTTATACATAAAATTTTTGAGTATTTTTTCCGGCATGGAACGCATTATCGTATTTTACATTAATTTATATGGGAAAAATTTTTTCCGCATTACGAGTAAGTTTCTGGAACAAATTATGCTTGTTAAGCGAGGTTCCACTGTACTCATCTTTTATGATAAATCTCTGTTTAAAAAAACTGATGATGTGCCTTGACAGTTCTGGTGCCGTGAGTTGAAAACTGTTGAAAAACTCTTATATGTAGCATCATCTCAAGGAAATAAAATTTACATGTAAATTTAAAATTCTGAGGCTCTAGTAGGTTTTTAAGAAAGTGCATAACTGTTCCACCTGCAAAATTATACATATTAGTGCCAAAATCATCGATGTTTTCCCGCCGACTCCCCCCCTCCCCCAGAGAGAGGGGGTGGAGATATGGTTTCAGAAGAGTAAGGAACTTCTCCTTAATGTACCATATTTTGAAAACTGAAAGCTGTATCTTTTCCTTGAGTAATCTGTATCATATCATGAGCTGTAGTTGTAATTTAAGGCAGCAGACAAGTGTGTATGTGTTTGTGCGTGCATGTGTCTATATGTATACACACACACACACACACGTGTGTATATATATATATATATATTTTGTGTGTGTGTGTATTTTACATTACTGAAGGTATTTAAATTTTAATGCTTCCATGACAACAGAAAAAGCCACAATTTAAACTTTGACCACTGAAAACCTCAAATCTCATATATTATTAGTAGGGTCTTCATGTTCCTACAGTTTGTCATGAATTTGTGTTTAGGACTTTTATTTGGTTATGAGATTCATATATTTTTGGTGCATGCAAAGTGATTGACGAATTCTGACAAAAACTAATGTTTTGAATTTTCAACTCTCCAGGAACATGCATGAGTAAATGGCACTCATTTTGCTTTTCTAATGAGGGAGCTTTCTGTATCTTTTCACTGATGTATTGCATGCTTAAATCCATTCACAGAAAAAGTTGTTAGAAGAAATACATGTAAGCAGAGAGAGAAAATTAAGGTGTGTGACTGTCTGATCATTTGTAACCATGCAGTAATTCTTATACCTTTTGACTGCTGTTTTCAGACAAATTAACTTCATTTTTAATGATGCAACTGCTTCATTCAAGTATATTGTGACATCAGATGAAGTTCACCTTAAAGGAATTACTATGGCTACTAATCTAATACAACTACTTTCTTATGTGATGTAACTTTATTTATATTATTGTACTTTACTATTTTCTAGCAATTTAACCTTATTGTCTGAAATGTAATATGCTGGTCCAGGCATAACACTCTGTTTTATTGACCAACACCATTTTCTTATGTAGAGTGTCTTAATTTTGTCATAGTGGTTTCGGGGAGCCAACTTATTGATTTATCAGTATATTTTTCTCTCATTGAACACAATGAGTTCCTTAACCTGTATTATCTGAGAAGTCATCCATCCTACTGTTTGAATCTTCATAACGTATGCTGTTGTAAAGGCATTGTTAAATAAACTAAGAATCTTGTATTATGCATTATGTATTATGTTCTTGTGTTATGCATGTTTGAGTTTTAGTGGTCTCTAATATCATGTACATTAGTGAGTAACTAACTAATTCTCTGGTAGCACAGTGTGAAGATTCAGCTTTTCTAATTTAAAAAATTTGCAATTGGTAATGATCCTAAACCAGTTGCAACAGTTTTCCATTTTTATGGCAGGATCTGTCTTAATGTTATCCATCCAACACCTTATTGGTGTTCCAAGGGGCCAGTATCCAACAGATTTCCTCATAAAATTCTGTATACATTCTTTATTTTCACCCATCACACCCAGCTCATTGTAGCCTTGTAGATTTGGCTATACTGTCAGTGATAATGACTTGAAAACTAAGAACAGTAGTAAATATTTTGATCTTGAATTTAGTAAAATTCTCACATTAACAGTTCTGAGTTGTCATTGTGGATTGATTATAAATATTAGTTCATAGTTTCTATTTGAGGCAATCTGCAAAAACAAAATATACTGACAAGTTATAGAACTCTGCTGAAGAGTCACTTCTTTGATGGGATGGGATGTGATGGTTAATGAATCTGCATGAGAAAAATTCACAATAACTTAATTTTTGCTCAGTTTTCACGCTTCTTCAGTTTCTTACTTATTTCCATTTTCTGCTTCAAAGTCAGAGCAGCATGTTTTCACTTTAGTGAGACCTGAGTCCACTTGGTACTGCGGCTACTACTGGCCTGTTATATCAGCCCAAGATGATAGATGGTGGTGATTGTGGAGCACTTGGCTGAATGAAGATTGGCAGGGGAAATCAAAGTACTAGAAGAAAACCTGCCCCAGCACCTCTTTGCCCACCACAAATCCCACATGACCAGACCTGGCCTTGAACTCAGTCCACTGTGGTTGGAAATTCAGTGTCTAACCACCTGAGCTATGGCATGGCCCCAATGTTTTCAGTTTAGTTCTTGCATAGGAGTCTAATGTGATATAGCAGATTGATGGGTGAAAGATTTCAGGTTTGCTGTAATGCCTCTACTGCAATCACAGATCATTGAGACTGTAATGGTGCCATTGTGAGGGAGGGCAGTTTGTAATGCTGCTAATGGCAGCTGGGAGAACTGCAGTGTGGTGGATGAACATATGCACATCACAACTTTGTTTTGTAACTAAATTTATAAAAGTTATGGGTTTTAAAGTTTTGTTGGATGCATGAGAATTCTGGGTGCTTAGATACCAGATTACCATATGTTTACTGTACTAAGGGATTGAAAAACTACATATATATCAAGAGAGTGGGGAACAGACTGGTGAACCACTATCTTTTAAACCTCTGATTACTGAAAATAATATTTAAATGCAAAATAGTGTCATGTGCTAGTGACTAGGCATGGGGTTTGGACTCATAAATGAATTTGTTGAATGCTTATAATTTACACACACTGTAGATCACTGCAACTACAGCACACATAATAAAGTCTTCTATTATTTGATCATCACTAGTCATTGGTAGGTAGTGGCTGCTAACTGTGAAACTCAGGGCTGCTAATTGCCGACTCTGAAGTTCACCTGACGGTCAATTCCCAGTTCGTGACTTCTGACTTAGACAAAAGTCATGTTACCACCAAGGGTGTGTTAGCCAGTGAAGTCTTGTTGTCAAGCCCCATCTGGGGCAAAAGACCACATTTTTGTTACTTTCAAAGAGCAGTATGTTGTTACAGTGTCTTCTTTTTGTGAAACTGGAGTATTTTTGGTAACATCTCCATGACAAGTTTTGTGAAAGCACCATGTTATCTTGGATGTAAGACAAGGTTTTTTTTTTTTTCAAATACTGAATCTTAGAAAAGAGGGCTCAGGTCATGAAAAATAAATATGATGAAAATTATTATGAAGAATAACCCTCAGAAAAAAACGGAATATTTAGTTTTATCAAAAACCTTTTTCTCCCTCCCTGATTTTGTCGTTGGAAGAGCAGGGGGTTGCCCTATGTTCGAGCTTATATGATATTGTATAAAAGTCCTTTTGTTGGCCACAGCACCACATTCTTCTGTTGTATTGAAATTTATCTTGAACAGAACTAAATGGTTTGTATATGTCATCTAGAACATGCTAAGTGTAATAACTCTGCTGGAAGTGGAAGGTGCAATGGTTTGAACTGGGAGAGTAGAAATTTTTATGTGCCCTTTAGTGACAGAAGGGACTCCTGACTTAATGTGACCACAAGGGATACTTATAATTGATGTTTCCCTTAATCTATCAAAATGTGCATTAAGCCTAGGAAGTATCCTGGTGAAACCTTTATATACTCTAGAGAAATGCATGCAGAATCTTAGTCAGGGACCCTGAGTAGGAGAGACCAATTAGAAGACTTGTGTGTAAATGGTATGATAATATTAAAGTAAAATATATTTTAAACAAGGAATAGGATTTAAAAACGTGGACTGGATTTATTTATCTCTGGGTAGAGTCCAGTGGCAGGCTGTTGTGAAGACAGTAATGAACTTCAAGGGTTTCATAAAATGTGGATAATTCTTTGACTTATTGAATGAGTATTAGCTTTGCAGGAACTCTGCTCTGTGAAGTGAGATTAATTTGGGAAGTATGTTTCCAGTCTCCATAACATCCTCCACTGGCAAAAATATTCAGTGTGTTACCTTCTGATGAATGATGCAGCAGAACACTACTAGAGTTTTAGAGCCAGCTTCCATAACTTCATCACAGATTCACCCAAATATACCAGTCTTAGAACCACTCATACTCTTCCTGCCATTTGATGCTGCACTTTTCAACTTTTCCCACCTCAGTTCCAAAGGACTTAGTGTTTTTCTTTGTGTTCAGGAACAAATCCTTGCTGAAAATGCTGCCTGTGAAACTACAAGACTAACAAGATCTTTATGAACCGTGAAAGCAGAGTCAATTCCTGTATGAATATCAATAACTGTACCCTATCTATGATGCTATTACTTTCATCCATTGCAAGTGCATAACAATCAAATGATTGTGTCCTCAACATACATTATTCAAACCTAACAGGTTGATCTAGAGGTAACCCTGAAGATTTGTTTTCAGTGGGTTCTTGAGCCATATCTCTGTGGGACAGTCACAGGCAATGCTTTACATGGTTTTGTCAGTCNATTCAAACCTAACAGGTTGATCTAGAGGTAACCCTGAAGATTTGTTATGCTTTACATGGTTTTGTCAGTTCCTCCACACAAATGGTGGCATAATACTGTACTTTGATTAGGCCATGACCCCTTCCTTGTAGTTCCTTTCTAATTTGTCATCCCATCATCTGATGCTTACTAACTAACTAACTACATGGAGCTGAGCCCGTCTTCAGAAGCCACCAGTTGTGCAGCTATTCAACAACTCTGCAGCATTTTATGGAACCAAAAGGTTCATTGCCATGTTCAAGAGAGCCATCCATTGCTCCCTATCCTGAGCCAGATCAATCCAGTCCATACGTCTTGGTCTTCCTAGTAATCTCTTTCCTTCTTGCTTTCCCACCAATATCCTACATGCATTCTTCGTACCACTCTTGCTACATGTCCAGCCCATCTCACCCTCCTTGGCTTAATCATTTTAATTATACTTGGAGAAGTGTACAAGTTATGAAGTTCATTATGTAGGTTTCTCCAACCTCCCACCACTTCATATCTCTTCAGTCCAAATATTCTTCTCAGCACCCTTTTCTCAAACACCCACATTCTGTGTTCCTCCCTTAATGTCAAAGATCAATTGTCACGCCCAAACAGAACCACAAGCAAAATGATAGTTTTGTTTATCATAATTTTTATGTGTTTAGACAGCAGACAAGAAGAAAAAGTTATCATAATTTTTATGTGTTTAGACAGCAGACAAGAAGAAAAAGCTTCTGGACTGAATGGTAGCAGGCATTACATGAATTCAATCTCCTCTTAATTTCCTCCTGAATCAGGTTTTGATTTGTTGTCGTTCAAAAATATCTGAACTGTGCCACATTTTCAAAACATCTGTTTCCTGTTATTGTGTCATGATTTGCCCTGCATTCTGGTGACAAGACAGCAATATATACATAGTTTTCTCTGTGTTTACTTCTAGACCAACCTCCTTACTAGCATTAACTGAAGTGTTTTTCTTTATGGTATCTATGTTATCACCCAGTAGATTCACATTATCAGCATAGACAGCAGCTGATGTGTCCCGTTTAATTTCAGTCCCATCTGGTTTTCCTGCACCTTCCTAATGGTATATTCTAAAGCAAAGTTAAAAAGCAGTTACGATAAAGCATGTTCTTGTTTTAGACCATTGTGGAAAGGAAACTTATCAGACAAATGTTTACCTATATGGACTTTACTATACGTTTCGTTTAAACATATTTTAATCAGCGTAACTAATTTCATGGACTTTCTTGAAGTCTACAAATAGCAGGTGTACTGTCTCATTGTGCTTCCATTTTTCTCCAATACCTGACGAATGCAAAACATCTTATCTGTAGTTGATCTGTTATGTCGAAACCCACACTGATGATCCCCAATAATTTCATCTACAAATGGACTTAACCTTGATAGAAGAATATTGGATAACATTTTTATGAAGTTGATAGCAGTGATATCCCCCGATAATTATTACAGTCAGTTTTATCACCCTTCTTATGAACTGGTACAATAGTAGACTCCTTCCACTGATTTCCTTATTTGATATAGAGTTAATGAGTTTATGGATCCATCATTTGATTGCTTAATTTTAATACTGAAAGCATCATAAAATAATGCATGATAGGATTTGGTCAAGAAAATTTGCTGTAGTTCTTCTGTACATATTGTACAAGTTCAGGCAGACAGAATGACATCTTCAGTCATGCTGTTTCACAGATTATAGCTAGTAAAAGGCCTTCCTGTTTCTGCATTTATTTCGGCCACTGCAATTCACTGTCACACTCTTGATTCATTTTGATGCATTATCTCTTGAAAATATTCTGTTAACGAATCAGAGAAGCTTTCACACTCAGATTTGCCTTTATGTTAACTGGTAATGGCGCTTGATGATGTATTCCTTCATAACATATTGTTTTCTGGCAAATAAGGCAAACTGGTTTACCTTGCAGTAAAGAAGTATTTCCTAATCCCATCTTCTCTGAAGATTCTGCATTCATCACAAACTTTCCCTTTCCTTGAAGCCATGATTCACTGTATAAAACACCTTATATACCTCATGAGTACAGTACAAGTAAACCAACATTTTTGCAGTTACACAGCAACTTCTCAACACAGAATTACAACGATTGGGTTTTTTTGTGCCAGAGTGAATTGTTCTGCCTTTACTTACTTCACCCTACTAGTCCTTCCATCTCTCCCTCCTATCAACATTCAATAAAAATGAATCCTTCCCTCTTCATTCCAATCACTCACATGTCACATGGATTATAGTTAGAGGTTACAATATGCCAAACACACTCATCTTACTTCCTTATTCCGTACTTGTTCTTGTGTCTCCATATTTGTTGGATCCCTAGTTTATGAAAATGTATAGACCAGCTTCAGAAAAAGGATCTATGTGTCACTGATTGCCAACTCCTGCACTAGTTCATTTGCCATAAGGTGCAGGCATCCCCAGACTTATGTGACAGTTGTGTTTCCAAGAGTGCTTATGTAACTTCAAGTTAAATAACTCTATATTTGTATTATTCCTCTGCTTTTAGTGCATTAATTTTTCATTGGGAAATATTTAAGTTATCATCAGTACCATTCACTTTAGCCGTGTACAAAGGCAAACCGCGTAAGTCAGAGGAGACTTGCAGTCTGCATTCACATCCATATTTTAATTTCTTTTCTTATGTTCCATGTTGAAGAACAACAATATAATGAACAACATAAATACAGTGGGCAGTGCAGCCAATTCCATGATGCAGTCGTGTGCCAACAGTGTCCTCAGCAGCTGTCCTGTCTCCAGTTCTCTGACTCCAAGCAGTGGTCCTATGAAGGCCCCTGGTATCGATAGTCCATGCATGATGCCTGGTTCACCAAATGCTAATCCCATGATGGCTAGTGGGATTGGACATCACAGTCCTAGCATTTCCACAGGCACTCCTGCCATGATGCCAGGAGGTGCACCTGATATTGCAAGCAGTCCAGTCATGAATCCCAACAGCAGTGTTCCTCAGCCTACTCTCACAGGTGACAGTGGCAGCAGAATGATCACATTTTCTAGAGCACTAATTCGAGAATAGATTTAATTATTAATTTAGAAGTACTTTTGTGATACCTCTGATTTCTGAATCTTATATACTTAACCCGTTGCCGTGGTTCGTCGTGTATGTTTCGTCAGGGATTTAAATCGTCTGGGGGGGTTCGACGTGTATGTTTCGTCCAGCTGCACACGTATGTTATAACGCCCATAATAATTGATGGTTTTGCTGTAGATTGTTAGATTTTTCACTGGCCTGTTGTCAGGAGGACTGTATTTAATGACACACGCGTTTAAGAGCGCTAAGTCGTCGTTACATATGCCTGTCTTGCAGCAACGTTCCTGTGGCTATTGCGAGCTGTTTCTGTTATGAATGATGTGTTTTGTTTGCTCTGAAGCTATAAACACCAGAGACTGATATGTGCTGGTGTTTATAATATCATATTGCCCTGAGCTGGCTATTCAATTGGAATTCTTAGAAGAGGGATGTACAAAAGTTTATGCCTGCAAAATCGATTGCTTTCGCACAGTACATAGCACCCATTTCTTAG